AAAGTCAGTTATGTTTCTCATCGCCCTGTTGTTTTCTGGCTGAATTTCAGTGCTTTGAAGCATATCTACAGTACCCCATATAGCTTTTATAAAAGAGGGTGCATTTCGTAAAGTAACTTCAGTTGTAACTACTGTAATGAGTATTTTAAATTACAAAAGGATTTCAGTGATACCAATAATGTGGAATTGTTCATTTTAAGATTGCACTAAGCAATTCCTATTTGTGTTCTGTGCAGAGGCTGAAATTAATAACTAGACCCAGATTTCCAGTAGTATCAAGGAGAAGAGGAACCTCTGCCTCTTGTTTTATTTAGTCTTGGTCAGAATATGGCATCCAGATCCAAATGGCTTTGAAGAAACTTACCCTTCACAGTGGGTTTAGCTGATGCTGCATCCAGACCGGGAGGTCTGCCTTTATGTCAAAACCTGTGACATATCCTGGGCTCCAAGACCAAACCTGAGCATTTGATTATCCTGTGGTGTGTGTTTGACTTCTCTCAAGGTTGCTTTTTGTGCAGGTTGGCCCCGGCTCCGAGCTAGGGACTATTCACTGTGGCCGGCTAGGCTAGCTTAAGGTACAGCACTTCAGTGACATCGCTCAGGGGGGTTCAGAGGCTCCTTGGAATTCTCCTGGTGCCCCCAGGATTACAGACAGATTTTGTCACAGGTCTTTGGGAAAATGCATTAGGATTTCCATGCTGAACAGCTGGGATGAGTGGAGGTTGCTCTGCTGGAATTCTCACTGGTACAGCAGAGCACCCCCAGCGCAGACAGAGCAACTTTTATCTGGGCTTGCAAAGCAGTGGCTGATGTCCCCTGTGAGTCACCTGCAGTTATGAGACCAAAATAAGAACTAAACATATTTATTTTGCAGCAAAGAAATTGCTGTAATTTAACATGAATTTGCACCCTTACCAGTGAAGTTTACTCCTTAAAAAAATACATGAACCATGGATCTGACTCTTCAAAACATTTCAGCATGTCATCAACGTTAACTGTAAGCCTCATTTGAAAGCTGCTACTGCTGGAGAGTTTCCTTCTTTCACTGCCCTGTCATGTCTATACAACTATTTCTAGCTATTCTATTTCCAGAACTGTGTGGGGTCTGCCTCTTCTCAAAATACAACAGAACTTGGAAATAAGCAGAGAATAACCCAACTCATCCAGAAGTCTTTCAGTGCAGAGCCAGCAGTTAAAGATGTAGAATTAGTTTGAAACTGGCAAAATAACACAGGTAATCACAGAATCACAGAATCCTAAGGGTTGGAAGGGACCTCAAAAGATCATCTAGTCCAACCCTCCTGCAAAAGCAGGGTAACCTAGAGTACATGTAATGTTCTCCAAGTATGAAGAGTCTGATACTATTGTCAAGGATGCCTTCTGCAATTAAAAGCTCTGTGTCTGGGGAACTAGAAGAAGAGAAATCATCTATAGCGTTTATATTTGTGGGCTTTAAAGTTTAACAAGGTCACCAACAAAGCCACTCTAAGTGTGCTTTTCTTCCAGTGGTCCTTATTTGCCATAATGAACTTGTTACTTTGATTTCCAAAAGGCACAGAAGTAAGAGATACTTCTTTGGTATGTTCTAAGTGCAAATAAACTCTTTTCTCATAAGCGATACCTTCTGGAGCAAGAACAAAGGATCAGAAGAGTGAAGGTGTTCTTCCAGCTTTTTCCAAGGGAATACTTCTTTTTCTGGGAAGGAAGGGCTGTCATCTGTTTGAAAAGTTTACTGTTTTATTTGCATTGCATTGTACCCATCCTGCTTGCCTGTCACCTCTTGATGGCCCTGCAGAGCTCACAGCTGGCAGCACTAGTCACGGCACTGTTGATCTCTTGTTTGCTCTGGTGTATGGGGTTGCGGAAGTGTTTTGTAGCATCTCCACAGGCATGAAACTTTTGTCCAAGTCACCTTTTTGTCGCAAGCCATTTAGAAAAGTTGTAGAGGAAAGAGCAGAGGCTAGAATTGTGCTGGAGCTCTTCAGGGTCATCTGGTAGTCAGCAAGTGCAGGGGAAAGGAAATGGCACTGGGTTCTGCCACTAAAACCGTGAGATTAATGCTGGTGACATAGATGGCTGCTTGCTTTCTATGTGATTCAGATTTATCACTCCATTGACTGATTCATGGCAACATTTTTTAAAGGCTTATTTGATTCATGGTTAGAGGAAGGGTATTGTTATAGAAACAAATAGCAAAGTAGGGCAGCAGAGTTTGGAGCCTTCCCAGGTGATTTGCAAGCACTCGTGGGAAGAAATTGTCTTCCACTTTCTTATGTACTTGTACATGTGATGAACTGAATGTGTTTGCGACTTAGAAGGTGGAGACTAAGGGAATGAAAGGAACACTTGGGTTTAGCTCTTGCTCCTCTCCCAGCACCCTCACTGCATGTGCCAGTACTGACGATGCTCTGCAGGGCTCGGTTCCAGCACCGGGTGTTTTCCCACATGCTCCTGGGGCAGGGAATATTGCTGTACTCTTCTGTATTGCCATCCCCTGTGCTGACTTGGGGTTTGATTCTAAAAGCACAATCCATAAGATTGGTTCTTGTGCCATTGATTCCATGCAGTTGTAGGCACTGGTAGGTGTTTCAGAACAGAGCTATCAGAGCACCACTGCTGAAATAATTCTGAGGTTTGGGAACTCTTGAACTGATGGTAAGTTCCAATGGAAAGTACAGTGTGTTACATACATGTATTGAGTCATTTAAAGCATATTTTATTTTTAGGTATCCCAGTTCATTTAATAAGTACATAATTCGTACATTCCTGCTGTACCATTGATAATTTCAGCATAAACCTAAACTTCAGCACCCATGAAAAGGAGATAGTCAGAAGCCACTTAAAGCATCTTTCTTGAGAAGCTAAGTTTGGACTATTGTACTTCAGTCTGTCATGAGAAACTCTTCCTAAAATGTCCAACATGACAAACTACAAGGGGAGCAGCTGGTTAAAATTATCAGTTTGAAAGCTGGCATTGATCTGTATGCAAATCACGTTTAAATGGGGTAATGTGCAAGACTATGAAATGACTGAATTTTAATGAATTGATCAGCAGCAGACTAATGAGCTGGTTGGATCATCAGTTAGGAGACATTTTACCTGGCTATTTTTGGAATAGTCTGTTTATTTGGAAAATCCATCTTTGCATAATACAATCACAGGCATCATTCTCATAATACCAATTTGTTTTAAGAGGCCTTCTCTAGACCTTGATGTCATTCCTGCAATATCTGTCATTTCTTTGTCAGCAGTAAATGGCAATGAGCAAAGCCAGAAGTAAGAAATGAATCAGGAAAGTTGGCAAAGCAAAATCGTTTTTTTCTTATGTGGAAGTTGCATCTCAGATTTTGCAATGATAGTGTTAGCAAATTGTGGTAATGTAAATGGTTTAACTTTTAAGTTCTCATTTTCCTTTAAAGTGCCATGAGAGCACTAATCAAACTAATGTTATGTACAGGTCAAGAGTGGCAGGTTGTTCTCGGGGCTTGCTGGGAGCTGACAGTAGGCAGTATTTATTAACAGTACCTGCAATAATTTGTCAACTGAATGGAGGATTTGGAGATCTTCACACCAGCAAAGGATAAGTCTTTGCAGAGATATTGCTTCAGATGATCACTGCCTTAGGTCCACTTAATTTTTTGATAGAATAATATCTATTTGATAGAATAATATCCCAAAGCAATTGATGACTGTTGACTAAGAATGGGAGAGTATTTTAAGAGGAGCAGCAGTATTTCACTGTAAGTCCAATGTTGTATCTTTCTTTACAGCTTGGAAAAGTCTAAATGGATGTAATGTGTTAAAACTTTTGAAGCTATTTGCCTCCTTGCTGGTCAGTGTTGTGCCAGAAGCCTACTTATTGTGTGTGACTTTATAATCTTGCACCTATCTATACAGGTCCCTGCCTCTGGGTCTGCGGGGGCTCCTTATGTCATAATGCTTCCATATTTATATACTCCAGAGTGCACACAGTGCATTTGTTCCTTATCTCTTCTGTATTGTACACCTAGTGTACCTTGCAGTTTTGTGGGTGTTTTGTCTGTGTATATTCTCTGTAGCTGTCCCATTTCAGGTCTTTCATACCTTCCTGGTATGAAATGAATGCTGTTGATTCCTGTGGTGAAATGAAGTGTGAATCAGTGGATTTCCAAAAGCCAAGATCTCTGGAAGTGTGTAAAATTGCACATGGTTAGGAGTACCAGACAATTGTTGTTAATCATAGATAAGTACTAATACAATAACAGTTGTTATTATTGAACCGTTAATACAAGATTTGCAAGATGAACAGTAATGCCTTAGCTCCCTCCAAGCAAAGGCTTGAGGAAAAAAGTCAATCTTCACATCTGGAAAGATCACCTTTTAGGTGTAGCTACAGTCCCAGTAGGATCTGCTTTGAACAAAACAGAGAACTGTCAGAGAACTGCAACTGAGCCAGGGGAAACCTCATAGATGAGCCTCCACCAGCTGTGACCATTGACGTACAGCCCCAACATGTCATTTGTCATGCAGGCCTTGGAGTACTAGCAAACACTGGCAAATATTATGATCACAATCTTACTGGGAAGTAAACTCAAACATTGACATAATCTGAACTCACCACTACTTGGGGGTTTCTAATTCTTAGCTGCACAGCCTAAAGCCACATAACTTAAACTCCCAAAGCTGTGGAGTACCTCTGTGATGCCCTCAAGATCTCTGTGATGCCCAGGTGCTGCCTCTGCATCATTTGTGCTAACTGCTGCAAAGTTGCTTTCCTCCACATTGCTCTTTCAGCCAGACGGGAAATGAAATGTGTTATTTTACTGAGGTTTTAGATAGAATAGCCTAAGCAAAGAGAATCAGCCCAGAAACAGGGTTAGTGTATTGTTCCAGTACTAACGGTAGGTTTGATCTTTCCAGTAGCTATTTCTGAGCTGTGCTTAGAGACAACGCGTGTGTCTGTGCGCACCCTCACATCCATGTGCAGCTGAATGACACAACTGTTTCGTTTTTTTTTCCAGAATTATAGATCAGCGGTTTGAGAAAGTTTCGTATTTTGTCTTTGGAGATTTCAACTTCAGACTGGACGCCAAAGCAGTCGTAGAGGTAGGACTTTCCTAATGCTTCTCTTGTGGACCCTACCAGCTTTTATTTATCAAGTATTTTTTTCCTATGGAAAAGCGACTTAACAGACTAATCTTAATCTTGACATTAGACTTGGCTAAGAATACCTTTAACAGGAACATGTGACAGGTAACTAAGGATCACTGTTGGGAACCTGCTGGAGCAGTTAAGGGATCACAGCTGGCACGCTGCGTTCCTTCTCGGTGGGCATGCGTAAAGGGAATTTGGGCCATAGGTGCAGAGTCCATGTCACCTGTGCATGGTCCTGTGTGTGGAAAGGAGACCATGTGCGGACCATCTAAGGTGAGACCTGGAGGTTTCACAGTGCATGCAGGAGCTTCTTCCTTCAGAGGCATTCAGATCTCTTATTCGAGATCTCTTTGGGCTCCAGCACAGGGGACCACATTTCTGTTGTATGTTTGTGACTTCTGGCATATGTTTGTAACTCACAGTGAGCATCACAGTCCTTCACTGCCAGCAGAGTAAGTGCTGGTTTATATTTCTACTCTGTAGGGGGAAAAAGAGAAACATTTCCTAGCTGTCTATGATAGAACTCCACACTCTAAAAATACCAGCAGGCATTTGTGCAAACCTTTGTGACAGTAGCCTTTGGTGTGGAAGGGTGACTGGAAGATTTGTATGAAGCCAGAGAGAATGAAGTAAACCTTTATCATGGGTTGAGATTACCTTGACTGTACTGCTGAGGCTTAGCCCTAGGTAACACGGGGTCAGAAATGATGTCCAGGTTGAAAACAGATTTAATCTCATGGTTTCCCCGCTTGAATTCTTGAGATACTGTAACATCTTTTTGGTGTCCTTGAAGGTAGGTATGTATCTTCTGAACCAAAGCTTTTACTTTGTAAAACAAGCAGTGGGAAGTAGGTGCCCAGGTGTGAAAGGCTGATTAACCCTCCTATGGCTGCAGTGCAGTTCTCGTCCTTTACGAGACAACTAGTCCTGCTGAACAACAGGAGTTTGATGTTACAGCACTGCCTCTGCAGCTATAACTTCCTTCTAGGAATCCTTTATCCATTGTAGTAATTTTACCAACAAACTTAAGGCATAACTGAATGAAATCCAAGTCACTGATTCTGAGTATAGAGCTTCATCTTTATATGCTAAGGACAAAATCCTGCTGTGCTGCACTGTGGTTGCCGGTGTTATCAGCATTGTTTATAGGTTGTTCTTGAAATACTGTGCCTGTTTGGTTTTTATGCGCCAGTAGTGCAATGGTATTACTGAGAAGGCTCCTGTCTGAGCACACCTCTCTCAGTCATGCTGCAGCAGAGTTATCTCCTGCACCAGTACTGGTGAAGGGTGCTGTAAGTTTCTTCTAACTTACCAACTGCCTCGCAGGCTGCAGGGCTGAATGCAGAGGATGCTTTATTGCCAGTAGATTAAGATTCCTCCATTTGTATCTGTGAGTTTCAAAGTGATCCACTTCTAACAAAATAGCATCACTAACCACAGGTGAGGCACACAGAATAAGCTGCACAACAGGTAGTAAGAGTTCAAGTGACTCTTGGTCCTGACATGGCCCTTTTTGCCTGTGAATGCTTTACCAGCGTCAGTTAATGCTGTTGTGTTGAGCATGCAAGCAGTAATTTGAAGATGAATCAGATTTGTTTACCCATTCTTCCTAAATCTGATACATGTATGTATCAGATGCGAGTGTAAAAAGCGTTGGGATAGTACATCTTTCCTGTTGCTTTGAAAAGCAACAGGAAAGATGTTCCTGTTCATTAACCAGAACTATACTCGGCTACTTTGCGACATTAATTAAACATAATTAAAGTTGATCTTGAAACTTCCACTTGTAATTTACATGGTTAAAGTCATCCTGAGCTTTTTTTGTAGTCTTCTGTGCTTGGTACAGTTTATAAACTGGTATGTGAGAAGATCCAAGAGATGTAAGAAATGGTTGTCTCATGCTGTTTATACACAGAAGCGATGGTGCAGGCAGTGTTTCTTTGACAGCATTTTAACAATGAAACAGTCGTGCATGATTCCATAGTGAGGGTGTAGCACTCTGTTTTCACAATGAAGTCTGGTCTTCTAGGAGATAGATCCTTTTCTAAAGTGTCATTTGGAAGGGCAGTTACAGGCCACCTCTAGTGGGAATTATTCTGGATAGGACCTAATGGTTTGATGGTGTGTGAGATGTGTGAGATTCAATCCCAGATCACTTCACAAATTAGTTTAAAAATGGTGCTTCTCAGTTGTGCTGTTTTTCCATAGCTGGCAGAGGGCTATTCAGAGGTGCAGTTGATAGGAATTTTAAGGGTTAAAACCATTGACCTGTCATCTTTTTATATATTACTGAATTTATTTCTGCTTTTCTTGCTGACCTTTGAATTCCCTCTTGAGACTGCAATGTGCTGAATGCTTGGACACTAAGATGCTACCAGCAATACCCGTGTTGTGGAAACATAGACTGTGCTTATACCAAACACAGAGAATAAAGTCTATTTCTAAAGGATTACTCAATTAAGCCATTGAAAGAGAGAATCTGAGAGCTGTTTCAAGTGTGGAGTCCACACACTGAAGTGCAGTGTGCTAAATCAGATGCCAGAAATGTTGTGCTTATGAACTGAGAATTAATAGACAATAAATCATTAATATATAACTTATTAAACATTATATGTGAACCTTAATCTAAAGGCATATTGATTTCCTTGCTAGGAAAATCTGCTTTACTGTTGTTGAAGAATCCGGGGGGAATCAATAAAACAGGTAGAGGCTTCAGGCCATGTGTGCATTAACAAGGGCATTGTCCAGGGGATAAACTGGCAAGAAAGAAATAGGACGTCTGTAGCATAACAAGCATAGCAAATACAGTTGGCTTGTAGTAGATCTGAATTATAGTTTGAGCATAATTTGTAGCTCAGCATGATGATATTCAGAGAAATACTTACGGCTCCTCCACTGAAAGCATTTTAAAGCTGTCCTCAGCCTGCAAAGGGCCAGTGATAAGGTTCTGTTTCAGTCCTAGGCCCATGTGTGACTCAAAGTACAAGAGGAGCTGGAACAACCAGTCTGGTTACACCAAATGCCCCACACCCTGGCATGTGCCACACATTGAGGCATCGGGGGCTCTGCCAGGTCCCAGCCACTGGCACCTGTTGTGGCTTAGGCTGAAAGATCTTGTGTGATGCCTGATCCTCCTTCTCCCTAGGACAGCCTAAAGGCCCCAGCCGCTGAAAATAACTGCATGGGAATGAAGTGCTGGTGAGTGTTAATTATAAAGGTTCAGCACTGCTGTTGTCATAATCACCAGGGCCTGATCCTGACACATCCTCCTGGGTCTGTGTAGCTGAGCTGCGAGGTCAGCCCCTCTCCCTAAGGGAGATAAATGCCACTACTTGGTTACTGTAAAACACCCAGAAAATTGAATCATAGGCTCTCAGAGTGGTTTGTGTTGGAAGGGACCTTAAAGCTCATCCAGTTCCAACCCCTGCCACGGGCAGGGGCACCTTCCACTTGAGCAGCTTGCTTCCAGCCTCATCCAACCCGGCCTTGTATTTTCTGCAGGCAGCCTTGCCCTTGGGAGGCATCACCTTTTCAGAGGTTCATTGTGGACCCATTCAGGCCAGCAAATTACTGACCCTTCTGCACTCCTGTTTGTGGTGCTGGCATTGCGGTTATTCAGTGCTGAATATCCTCAGTTCAGCATCCTTTGTGTAGAAGCATATCCAAAACCAAGCCCTGTAAGTGTATTTAGTAAGGCAATACAAGAAATTTACATTTCCCCGAGTCTTGATCATTTTAAGGTATGCTCTAAGACCCTACTTTTTTCTCTGGCAGTCAGATAGGTTCAGTTAATCCTCCAGCTGCAAAGTTGGGCGAGTATTTTGTGCTGTTCCAATTCAAAGATTTGCCTACTGAATGTCTTTCAAATGGTAGCTGTTTGGGGTGATACAGCATTCTAATGATTTGCCCACTGCTGCCAGGTATCTTCCAGCACATCTATTCCCAGCATGTTCTGGAAGTGTTTACAGCATGTACAAAATTACTGTAAAAGTCTGTATTAGTTTGAGTCTGTATTCTAGTGTGCATCAGCTTCTCTGCAATGACTCTAATACAGGTATTGTCACAGCATTTCACAGAAGCAGGAGTTTCTGATGTTTCTCTGTATACGAGGTGGTTCTCCTACAGTTTCCCGGAAGTTCTGCTTTCCCTGTGCTGTAAGGACAATTCACATGGGTCACTGGGGTCTTTGCAGTTACCTGGAATATGTTGAATATATATGAATAGTAGTGAGTGTGACAAAGGTAGATTTCCTGTTTCTGGAAAATTATCTTCTCAAAGTGAAGGCAAAGGAGAGTTGGTGAGGTGACTTGGAGGAGAGCTGCAGCAGCACTGAGGTGTGCTGCAGGCTGAATAGTCCAGGAATTGAGAAATTGTCATGAGTTATTTGGTTCTTCAGAAAAGGCAGGAGGGTAAATGCCTGCAGGTTCTGAAATGAAACAAGGCTAGCTGCCTGTCGACCTAATAAAACTAGGATACTAAAATCTCTGAAGCACATTAAGGGGAAGAAGGGAACTGAAGTTTGCGGAGGGATAAATGAAGGGTTTATTACAAAGACCTGAGGAGGACAAGTTCTTTTTGTTTGGGATGAAAAGTGAAAGGACTGAAGCTATTGCAAGTGAATGCATGGCAGAAGTAAGTCAGTTCTCTTCTGTCAGTCCCTGAGAACAGCAGCTCGATACCTGCTGTGGCTGCTGTTGACCACACAAGCTTCACGCTGTGATGGGTCCAAGCCCATTCTCATCTCCACTTTTACCATCATATATATTTGATTTTTTTACATTGAAACATCTTATTCGCATCTCGTATTTTCTGCATACTCTACAAGCACTTGCCGGTGTAAATGTGGCAGCATAAATCTCGCCTTGCCTCCTCCTTCACGTGGATCTATGGAAGCGCAAGTGGGAGGGTCGTGACCCCCATCAGTAAATTTGCAGGGCTGCGTGCACGCTGGT